CTGCGTGGTTGGTTAAACCACGACACTGACCCACGGCAGGTTCAAGCAAGCAACGTGCGCACAGCACCTTAGATAGCTGGCCTTCACTAACCTTTGAATGCATACAGCATTAGAATACTGAGCGTAAATTGACAATAAGTTTATTTTTGTGGTTGGGAAAATACCTACAGACCTTTGGGGCATGGCCTCATTTCTGTTACAGACTGATGGATTCGCCCAGTTCATACAGCTAAATTTGTGCACCTTACAGATAATCCATATACAGAGCTTACTGTTACCAGAAGTACCACAGGGACAGTCAGGGGAGGTTAAAAAAAAAAAAAAATTTGATGCAGACTGCCAAGCCCCTGTTGCTTGTAGAGTATGTGCACATTTGCTGCACACTGCAAAAGCTCTCACAAACTTCCATCCGGTATCAATCACGTCAGCTGAATAAAACGAAACCAAATTTGAAAGCAAACAGTGCCACTTACTACGCAGCATGTCATGGTACGCGTTATCAGCAATGGAGAAGATGTGGGGAGGAGCCTCCGAGCGCCTCTTGCCTTTGTATGCAGCAACGACCTCCGACTTGTAGACAGGCAACCACTTGTAGGGATTTATAGTCACGCAGAATAAACCAGAATACGTCTAGAGAGGAACACAAAACAAGAGTGAAAAAAACCGCTCAAGGAATAAGAAAAAAAGTCCTAGTTAACCAAGCAGGACCTGGTGTTGCCAACTTCTGATTTGAGTTTGAATTCTGACTTGAATTTCAGCCTTTGATCTGAATTTCTAAAGCTAGTGGCCTGCTAAGTGACTTCCTATTGGCAATTGATATCAAAACTACAGATATTAAACAGTTTCCCAAAGGGGGAAAAGTATTCTCAAGATGACAGCCAGAAACAGCCCCTTCAGCAAAACAGAGGAGCAGCAAATAGACCTACGTCTGATTTTCTGCCCTGCTACCCCACAAGAGTTGTTTCCTCTTGAAACCAGTCATTACGAAGGAAAGAAAAGTGACAGCTTTCCTGTTTGAACTCCATTCCTAGGAGGAGAAACAATCTCCCATTATTAAGTTGATGTGAGCACTTTGGGGCAATTTCTGCTGGGTGTTCAAAGAGAAAACAACTTCATAGTGTTATTCCCCAAAGCTGTGGAGTTTTTTTCAGCTTTTGGAGAAACACAGTTGGTAAAAATCTACCTTTAAAGTCACTCTTTGGGCTTTCTACATCAGTTAGCTGGGGCCTGGTCATCCTGAGGAAGAATGAATTTTCGGCTGTAACCCCAGGGAATCGGTGTTAGCTGGTAACTTTTCACGTACTTAGTCCAGGTTGAAGGTAAAAATCTTCAAAGAAAGCCAGTTATTATATGGGCACAAGCACCATATGCATGCAGATTAATGAGCTTAATTACATTCTAAAAGTTTCAGGTGAAATCCAGGTGTCTTTCCTAAAAATAACATTAGACCTGCTCCAGAATGGCCTTGGCATGTGTCCTCAGTCCTATTTTCTACAAGGAAAAGAAAAACCCCAACCAAGTAAACGGATTAAGGCAAGATGACAAATTAAATTTTCTACCTATACTGATCTGCAAGCAAAGCTATGCTTAGGGCCATACATGTCCATACAGGGGTTATTAGAGAAATGCAGAAAATGTTTAACAATCAGAATTTAAATGGGAAAAAGTTGGATTTGCTCCTCTGATGAACACCGAAAACCAGAACAGGGATTGACTGGAAAATCTAAAGATTCCCCTGACTGATTTCAGCCACAATTGAATGCAGCAAACTGAGAGCCAAAGTTTGGCCTCATAAAATTAGATGCTACTGAAACTTGTTCTGGTGCTGACAGAAATTATGTTAATGATGTCTTGGGGAAGATACAGAAAGCAAGGGAAAAGGCCAGTGCGAAACAAGTCAGCACTGAAAATGAAGGGAATAAAATCACTGAACTAAAGATAGAAAGGCTCATACTTAAAAGAAGTTATGTGTGTACTCTAAGCTTGAGGCATTGTTTCTTAACAAGGAATCTCCATGGCTGGTATTGATACGGATTAATATTAGGAGAGGCAAAATAAACTAGGTTTCCCTAACGTCTTGATTGCTGACAATATGTCCCATGACACCCGTCTCCTAGGCAAGCAAGCAAAACCAAAGAACTAGACACCATCTTAGTCATTCAGTTTTGTCTGTCTGTACTCAGACACGAGCCAGCTCCAAGCAACTTCTTTCCCGAAAAGATGAGCAAGACCCTCAGTTTTGTGACTTATCAAAGTTGTAAACTGAATATGAAGAACACAACATGTTCAAACATGAAATCTGCGCTTGAAATGCAGATTTCTAAATATACCCGTGTAATGACCCTTACATAGATCATCCAGTTGCTGTAGCGCTTTCTCAGATTGTACAGCACAGACGCCTCGTTCAGATGGGTCAGCATAGCCATGTCCTCGATCATGTCAAATTTAGGAGGATTCATTGACTGCACGTCATCTTCTTTTATAGTAATGGTCTGCAAAGACAAATAAGTATGGCAACACTGGAAAACACTGGGATTTTCTGTTGCTTCACACACCTTATAGGAGAACATTTTTTTTTCCCCTGCAGAGGGAAGTCCTTCAGCTCAAACCCAGCCTATGCACGTAATACTGTTTGTTTTCACGGCTATCAGAAGAATGGGGGAAGGCTGACATGATAAAAGTAAGGAGCGCGGAGGTATATGGCTGCGAAAGGAGCCATGGGATTTATCTAGAGCCTGGGCTTTTACCTCTGGGCCCCAACCCTGAACGGGCTGGTTGCATACCTCTGCTCACACGCTGCTGTGCGGTGGCTGATGCTCGCTTACCCGCCACCGCATTGCTGTTTTGCCCTTGGCGGTTGTTCATGTGTCGTTCTGATATGGCATCAGTTACTGGGGCTTCCCATTCGCAGCCCATTTCATGAAAGAGGCAACTGAGCTTAAACTGGGACAGGTAATTTCTGGAGCTTGCTGCTCTGGCCTTGTTAGTCAGGGATCAGACAAAACCGGTTTTGTACCCTTCCATCTGTCGTCTGCACGGTCACTTTGCCACCGCTGGTTTCTGTAATTTCAGCTTCAACGTAAGCTTTCTTTTCATCGGGAACCCAACACTTCTTCTTCCCTGTGAAATTAAGGAGACCGAGGGTTCACAGCCTTGCGTCGAACAGCAACACCGTGCCTAGCTAAGCGAGGTTGCTGGGTTACTTTTTCCGCACCAGCGACACAAAACCTCTGGGACTGCAGCAGACCGGCAGTGCTGGGGAGCTGCCTGCCGAAGCAGAAGGCGTAGGGCTCCCAAATGTTGTCTCCCCTTTGAAACTACCACTTGGCTTCCTCTAGATCCTTCCAGCACAAGGTGTCAAAATATTTCACAAATGCTGGCTAAGCCTCAGCCTCCACGGGAAATCCATAATCATTATCACCAGATAATGTGCAGATGGACGAACTGAGATCCAAGCCCAAACTAAGGCGTCTGCTAAAAAGCCACACAGAAAATTGCGATCTGAGCGAGGAATAAAGCCCGCATTTTTTGCTTGCCAGCTATCAGATTTAACCTTATTCCTGCACATTCTTCTGAGGTTCGTCTTGAAAAATATTAATATTAGCAATATTAATAACTCACAGTGAATTATGTATATGGCTTTTTAGAGTTTGGAGTAGCTGCACTAGACTTTAGGTCTTTAGTTATAGCAATTATTCTGAATAGCGAAATGCTGTGGTTATTGGTGTATTTATACTTACTACTACACCTCAGGGCTCATACAAATCCATTTCATGAAAAATAAATTATGGGAAACTAAAAGCTAACATCAGATTGTCACACAGCCTGCAAATCAAACAGATGTACAGGTACAACATAACGAGACATCTAGTCAGGCCACAGAATCTCTCTCATTACAGGAACATCAATGTATGCCGTTTCTCTTTCAAATGGACAGCAAAGTGATCCCCCTTTAGCAGAGCAGTACAACTACACCTTGCTTCTAAATCTAGTTCATTACTTACTTACCATAAATTGGTAGATTATTTCTATTTAGTACTACCTGGGGGTTTTTAATAGCTCTGCAGAGTAAAGAAACCGGAACTTGGTTGAAGCAGCTACCTCAAAGAGCAGCAGCAGCAGCAGCACAGCAGCCACAACAGAGGCTTTGCATCCTGCTTTGCTCTGCATTCCCACAACTACACTTGGATGTAACCCTTATCCCTCTTAACCAGCCACCGGCAGCACAAAGGGTACTGCAACTCACCATCGAAGGCGACGGTCTGTGCCATCATCAGCTCCTTCTCGCTCTTTCGGAGGAAGGGAGCAGCCTCCCCGAATTCCGACATGTCCATCATCTTGGCAAAGGTTCAAGGTGGCACAGCTCAAAGAGGAAAAAGAAAGGGACCTGGTCTACCAAAGAAAGTAGGGGGGGAAAGAATCTATTTTGTGGATGATCTGAGGCAATACAAAACACTCAGCACAATGTGGCAGGTGGCTGATCAAAGTGATGATCAATTTGAAACGCAAATACCTAACACAGATTTGGGGCTGCACCCTTAGCTAAACCCTACCCTGGCTCAGCTTACTTAAAGCCAGCCAGGTCCTGTGTGCTTCAAAACCTCTGCACGGGTCACAGTTATCTCCACGGGAGAATTTAATCTCTTCTTTGTGGCACGAATAGTGCTTAAGAGCAGGAGATAAAACGGACCACTTGAAACTGTGATTTTAAAAACCACTTAGCGGGGGCCTGTTCTGGCCCCTTTCAAATTCGCCTAGAGCAGGCTCTCCAGCACGTCTCTCTGGGGCCATGCCACTCAACCACTTCAAGCATCGTCTGAGGCAGGCGTTTTCTGGGAATCATGGAACAAGACTTCACTGCTGCAAACTGAGACCTGCTGCAAGGGTGTGCGTTACACCCTTGGTGTGGCTCCAGGAACATATGCCCACGCTCGTGCTGGAGAAAGCCAGCACTGGAGCTGGAAGCAGCTCTGCTACCTGCAGCACACTCCTCTGATCGCACAAATTAGCATGTTAGAAAAACCAGGACTAACACGCCTCGGGGAGGTCCTGTGCTGGTATGGCTTCCCAAGTTGCTGTACCTCTCAATTCCCCAGCTTGGGTATTCCCCTGCAGCAAGGCATGGCGGAGGGCAAGTATACCTGCAGTATTGGTGCAAGGGCTTCATAGTTTTTGAGATTGATTGGAGCTTTTTAGTCCAGCTTAATATGTATACTTGTTTTCTCAAATGACAAGACCACGGTATTTAGCAGCTTTTTAACATGAAAGAGAGGGCAGGGGACATGGGTGTAAGTGAGACCGATTTGCTGGGTTTGTACTGCCAAGCAATTAATTTGATTGTTATGTATTCTCTAAAGTGATCGTACAGATACGGTTTTATATACATTTACTTTTTTACACACACACACAGAAATACTTACACACGCACACATACATAAAATACTCAAGGTGCTGTCCAGAGAACATCTAAAAGAACTTCCACTACTAAAAGGTGTACGCACACACATGCACACAATTTAAGAATTTCAGGGTTTTTTTTCTTTGAAGTCAAGGCACTGTTTTATTACTATTTGAAGCTGTACAAGTGACCCTCAGATATGATCTCTTCCTTTATTTTATTTACTGTGCAATATCCAGAGCAGCTGGACAAATTTTCAAGAGCCCTATCAAGACAGACACTGTAGTCTTTCAAAATCTAATTCAATTTCTTTCTAACAGAATCCTGGCAGGGATAAAAACTTTTCATCAACCAAGGCAGTTTTTTTTTTTCCAGCACATTCCTCCTGGGGAATGTAAAGCCCTAAGACAGCAGAGCTGCCAAACATTTTACATTCAGCCCTCTCCCGCTGCTGCAGTACGAGCTTGAGACCTTCTGTCATCTTCTTGTAGAGCAAAAACCTTCTTCCTCACAACTAGCCCTAACTTTTTCCCTTTTCAAAGATTAAAGGCCTACATAAGCACAACTATCGCCCATTATTTTAAGACCACCTGAGCTGACCAAAATTCCCAACTGGAGGCACAACTCAAAACTAGCATGGCAAAGTCTCTCTCCCATGGGAGTGTCTCTTAGCTCTAGTGGAGCAATGAAATTGCATCAGTTCATACATTTAAACAGAACAGCGTTAGAGCATGTAAGTGTCATTTCACATTAAACGTGCAAATGCCAGAGGAGCCACTCCAGTGTTAATCTCTAGGACTCAGGACAGATTCTCACAAGTCCTAATATACACTAAAGTACTCTGAATCACTTCTGTGCGACCTAGCTCCATTTGCAGACCTCTTAGGGACAGTCGCTCAGCTATCACCTTCTTATCTCATTTTATTTTTTTTCATATATATTCAGGGCCAACCACTATGGCAAACACGCTATGGTGTAAAGAAGCACTATGGCAGCTGGGAGAGAATCCCTTTTTCTTCAGCAGCCTCATGTGCTTGGAGTTATGACAGAGGTCAGAGCCCAGGCAGTGCACACCTTGCAGGTGCAGAGAACTCAGTGAGGCAAATCTGTTACCAGACATGAGAAATTGGGAACATTGCTTGGTTTATGGTCATAGGATTATTTTAAAAAGGCAGTATAGTCGGGAAAGACAAGGCAGAGCTAAAGACGTTCGCTTTCCTTTCAGTCTGTTCTAGCTAACAACAAAAGGAGCCGGCCCTTGTATATGAACTTTGGAAGATCCTTGAAAACACCTACACCCTGTAGAAAGCCAATATTGTTACACAAAGTTAAGTGGCATGCCCAGGACCACCAACAATTTGGTGGTGCGTTCAGACTTGGAAAGGAGGGACCTCATCTTTCTTTGCTGGGGCTGTTGGAAGAGCTACTGTAGTGCTAACGGGTCGTCCACAATAGCAACGACAGCAGACATCGCCTGTCTTTGAAAGGGAACCCAAGTAATTCTCCAAGGGTGTAACTCAGGTTGGATTAAAGAACTCCTTGGACCAACAAACTGCTTAAAATTGCAAACTGCATAAGCCATCAACCTCTGGTGGATGACAGAGAAGACAGAAAATATGACTTGCAGGTACTGGCTAATCAGTCCACCCAGATGCATAACTACAAGGGACCTGACACTTTCCTAAGCACTTATTCTACCTAGCTAAATGAATGCGCTGATGTTAGAGAAGAAACATATATTTGTCATCCTAGCATTCAAGCAGCATCCTACGATGACTAACATAGTGCTATATGTTTAGTGATATTACTACTAAAACCTTAAGCCACATGAAAACTTTAGTCACATCAAAACCACGGTACAGTGTTAGAGCACAGCTGGCTACCCGCATTTAGAAGTGAGAGAGGTTGGTACTCACCCTGGAGAGCACACAGAAAGTGTCACGGCTCCGCCTGGTCCAGGCTTTATATGCCCCTATCTCAAGGTCACTGGTGATAACTGTTTAAAGGCATCAGCAGTTTTCCTCCATGCCTATATTTGTCCTCCGGATCCCGGGTGAGGAGACAATGCCCGAGGAGGGGACACGTGTGGCTGCGCCCTGGCGAAGGGAGGGGGGGCAGGAATGTCAGCGGGGAGCGGCACGCTCCTCGCCGGCCGCCCCTCGCCACACCATTCTTGCTCCATGACTTCATGCAAGAAGCTTTTCCTGCCTCTGTGTTTTCACAAGGGCAAGTATTGCTTTTCCGAGTGCCTCAGAACTTAATTACCATGGGCTTGGGGGAGGGGGCGTGGGGTGGAAATTAAGACTATTCACGTGTAACTCCCCTAGAAAATAAAAATCAAAGCTTCTTGCGCAAGGTACAAGTGATTTTAAAGGGAATTTGGTTACGTGAACCAAACTGCCTTCAAGCAACAAAACTAGGATGCGAGTTCTCACATCCGAGTCAAGCACCTTAAATCCCTTTCTTGGGCCCCAGAGGATAAAAGCCAAGCCTATAGGCTCAGGTTTGGGATACACAGGTACTCCCCAGTTTATGAGCAAGGCAAGACAGTGAAGAAATTTAAGAATATATTGATTCTGCCTGGAAAGTGCATCACAGATAATGAACAAAGTAGGCATCAATTTTAGTGAGCGCTTTGCCTCGGGAAATTCATTTATGAGACTGAGTTTAAGCAATGTCTGGCCTTCTTATCGTAAACTAATTTTTCCTGTAAAACAAGTGCCGTAAGTAACTCAGGTCTCATTTCACTTCAACCCATTAATAGCAAAACAACTGACACATCCAGATTGATTTGCTTTTACCAGCATGGGTAGATATATAGGTTTCCTTTGGTTCTAGCATAAAGTGAATATAAAAGCACAAATGAAACTAAGTGTTGTGGGTAATGCTTGTTGGCCGCAAGGGAAGACAATATATTAGCACTTTAGAAAACTCAATTCCAAGGAAACAAGGGGGAGCAGGGAGGGAGCTTATCCACAGCTTCATCGAATTCTTAGATACCCGCAGGAGCAAGTGGTTTGGTTTGTGACCAGGCAAGAAGAAAAATGTTTGCATACTGAGTCTGCTATTTTTAAAGCTGTTGTCCTGATGACTGGACGGTGACAGGTTGCACAGACAAAGTAGATTTTTAAGAAACAGAGGGATTTATGGAAGTGATAGACTCAAAGACAGGAGATTGATGTGGCAGGTCTGAGGATCCAAGTGCTTTAGTGACCTGGTATTTTTAGCATTTGGGGAATGCAACCAAGAGACAAAGAATCACTACTGCTTTACCAGAGACGTGTCTACCTCCAGACACGCTTAAGTTGAGGAGAGGACCCTCTGCTAAAGCTAGGGGTGAGGTTTTCAGTCCTGGTCTGGATACATCTGTGAAAGGAACCTGCTCTTGAGCTGAAAAGACGTGGTGCGTGTCACACTCCAGCGCTCGACTGACTGTTGTGCTCTTCTCGCTCGTTTCCTTAGACCAGAGTCGCTTCCCATCCCTCCCAGCCTGCTGCTTTGGAGGTGTTCGGTGCCCCACAGCATGGATGTATGTTGATGTCGGATCTAACTCATCGCCTTTTTGCTTTATAGCTGGCGAAAAAGAAAATAGAGCTAGTGATCTCAGCTACATAGTGAACAGTGAGTGATTGTGTAAAGCTCAAGCAGATGCTCCTGATCACGTAATTTGAAACAAGGTAAATGGCATGCATCACCCAGATTTATGGATGCTGTTACTCTGCTGTGAAGACTGAGAATATGATTATTTCATGCCATGAGGGTATAACGCACCGATACTCTCTCCCTCCTGCTCCTTTCTCACATTGCCAGTAACTTACTTCTAAACACAATATTCCCATTACCACCTACTTTGCTTAGAAGGCATCTTTTCACAAATACACTGTTATCACTTACATTTTTTCTGTTCTGCAAATATTCAGCTTTCATCAGTCCTGCACG